CGACGAGGAGACCGCCAATATGGCGCGCGAAGGCTTACGTACGCTGGTCGTTGGTCGCAAGAAGCTCTCATACGATCAGTACAAGGAGTTCTCGGCTCGCTATCAAGAAGCCTCGCTTTCGATCAGTGGGCGTGATGCTGGCATGCAGCGGGTGGTTTCGCATTACCTGGAACATGATCTGGAACTAATTGGCGTGACTGGTGTCGAGGATAAGCTGCAGAAGGACGTAAAGCCCTCTCTAGAGCTCCTCCGCAATGCCGGTATCAAGATTTGGATGTTGACTGGCGACAAGGTCGAGACAGCCAGATGTGTTGCTGTCAGCTCCAAACTGGTGGCTCGCGGTCAGTACATCTATACAGTTTCCAAGCTCAAGAAGAAGGATAACGCCCAAGAACATCTTGACTTCCTCCGAAGCAAGACAGACGCTTGTCTCCTGGTAGATGGCGAAAGTCTGGCTCTCTTTCTGACACATTTCCGTCTTGAGTTCATCTCCATCGCCGTCCAGCTGCCCACCGTTGTTGCTTGCCGTTGTTCGCCGAACCAAAAGGCCGAAGTTGCCAAACTCATCCGCGAGTACACTAAAAAGCGCGTATGCTGTATCGGCGATGGTGGCAACGATGTCTCAATGATCCAAGCTGCTGATGTTGGTGTTGGTATTGTTGGCAAGGAAGGTCGACAGGCTAGTTTGGCGGCAGACTTTTCGATTGAGCAATTTTGTCATCTGGTCAAGCTATTGGTCTGGCATGGTCGTAACAGTTACAAGCGAAGTGCTAAGCTCGCACAGTTTGTTATTCACCGTGGTTTGATCATTGCTGTGTGTCAGACTATGTATAGTATTGCTATCAAGTTTGAGCCTGAGGGTCTATACAAGGTAAGCCGAGGAACTCTTTTCTCTGTTCTTGACAACTAACGATTGTAGGACTGGCTACTTGTCGGCTATGCTACTGTATACACTGCAGCCCCTGTGCTGTCGCTTGTGTTAGATAAGGATGTGGACGAGAACCTTGCCAACCTCTACCCCGAGCTCTATAAGGAACTCACTTCTGGACGATCTCTATCGTACAGAACTTTCTTTGTTTGGGTCTTTGTATCCATCTACCAAGGCGGCATGATTCAGGGCTTGTCGCAGATTCTCACTGAAGTCGACGGGCCCAAGATGGTTGCTGTCAGTTATACCGTTCTAGTGCTCAACGAACTTCTCATGGTGGCCATTGAGATCACTACATGGCATCCCATTATGATCATTAGTATCATCGGCACTTTCGTCTTGTATATCGGCTCCATACCTTTCTTAGGTGGATACTTTGACCTTCAGTTCTTGATAACATGGCAAGTCGTCCTTGATTTGCTGGGTCATATGTACTAACATCTGCTCAGGGGATTCGTCTGGCGTGTACTAGCCATTGGTGCAGTTTCATTGATTCCGCCATACGCGGGCAAGTTGATTAGGAGGACAATGAAGCCTCCGTCGTATAGGAAGGTTCAGAGCCACTAGAGGAACATGTCATGGGTTTGGAGTCTAGTGTTGGCGTTGGGTTATCACGTAGAAGGCATCATTGTTACATAGTATTCCATGTTTTATTTGTACCCAATAAATGATGTATACCCCTCTTTATGAGTGCTTTGAACTATAATACAGTACATGAGACTATCCTTACAGTGGTTTTACATCTTGAGGACCAGCCAATCTCTTGCCAGGAGAGGGTTCTGTTTTTGCAGATAACCAGCTACACCAGAAATCGGACCTTGAGTCTGCTGGCCACCTAACCATATCTTGGGCCCAGCATAGTACTCAATGAAACCGTCGGGGCCAGAGACGATAAACAAGTTTTTCCCGGGGGTAGTGCCTTCGGAAGACTTGCACACACAACCAGGCCCGTCAGCGAGGGCGAATTCTGATGCGTAAACATGCATTGCTTGATCGTGGAATCGACAACCTGCATTGAATGAAGCGACAGTTCCAGGCGATGCTGCAATGGCATCCCTAATATCCTTATCCTGGAAGCGAGTTCCCTCTTCGTCAACAACGACCTGTATCCTGAGACGATCACCATAGGTCATCTTGAGGTCTTGTAAGCGCTTTGTGACGGGACTAGGGTTCTCAACCTCAGTGCCTAATGGAGTGGGCTTCTTTTCTTGCCAAAACTTCCACGATGATTGCCGAGGAGGAGCACTTTTTTGAACCTCTTCTCTCTTCCTCACTGCCCAGAGGAGGTCAACGCTTGACTCTTCGCTCGCTTCCAAGACAGCCTTCGCTGCTTGTATACCAGGCACTACGCCCGTACCACCGGCAAGGAAGACAAGACGAGAATGCTCACCCAATCGCCCCGCTATTTCAAAGCCAACGTGTGGACCACGCAGGAAAACATCTTCACCAACCTGTCTTCGACCTAGGTAGTTGGACATTTCACCATCGCCAACAGTCCGGATATAAAACCGGAGCGAGCCATCTGTAGGATCCTCCGTAGATAGTGGAGGCAGGGGTGTATAATGCCGAGAAATTTGTACCTCAGGTTGCTTGAACTCCACAGACCAGAGAGGATAGCTCCAGCGGTTATCTGAAGGTGTCAGGTATGGTAGAGAAGGGTTTGGTGTGCGTGGGACTGCGGTGATGACGAATGAGGTTGGTGAGATGGCCTCGCGAGCTGTGATGCCGTAGGGAACAAAGGTTATCTCGTTGAGAGTGTTGGGTCGAGACGGCGGCGTGAGAAGATAGTAGCCGCCACTGGCAAGAATTATTCCAACCACTATTAGAGAGGGGAAGCCCCGTGATTGAAGAGGTGTAGAAAAGTCTGGTTTTTGAGAAGCGTGTTGCTGAGATGGTGATGAAGTTGAGAGGCTCCGTGATAAGATTCTTGGAGGCTGCGTCTTGGCTATTGACAAACGGCTCTGAAATTGACCATATTTTGTGAGAATTAGTCGGTTATGAATGATAGATCGCGATGAACTTGTGAATATCCTTGACGTGGCTCTCATCATATCGGTTGGTGGTGAGTGCACCAGTTTTGGTCACAGAGTTTTTCAGTCGTCTTATTGAGCTTTCACATCTAGAATAAAACCGCCTGAGGTCAAAATAGACCAAACAAGGCAAATATGCTCAGACGTAAAAAACGGGTTGGACTTTGCGGTCTCGTTCTTTCCAGTAACTTCAGGAGTTCCTTGAGTTCATGGTCACCAAAAATTGTAGCTGGAATTACTAGATCAAGGTCACGTGAATCACTTGAATCACCTCAACATGTATACCTAGTCGTCATGACTGAATACATTTCGTAGATAGGTAGCGCGTGGTAATGATTTATAATTGCATACCTCTATTGAAGAGTTCTTGTTCATGTGTTGCGACCTTGGGGTATCTAACCATCTATCAATACAGATATCTTACATCCTCAACATCTTATGCTCAGCATCAATACCTCCTCTAAACATATCCGCAACCACATTTCCCTTCAGAATAGTCTCTTTTACAATACCCTCCACATTCTTTGGATCAACTCTTCCATACCATATTCCACATCCAGCCAAAGGATGAGGCTCATTGCCCATCTTCAGGTCTGGAGGTAGATAAATGATGACGTTGCCAGCAAACTTATGACCCCCGATATGGCTGATCAAACCAACTCTAGCTGTAGTCTTGCCTTGACCAGTTTCTCCCTGTATTCTTTGTTTATCGCCGAGATTGACTTGTACGGGTCCATGCAAGACGTCAAAACCCTCCATTCCCAACTTGTCCTCGAACTCAGTTTGCAGGACAGGCGCCATGATACCGCATCTAGCATCACGCCCTGTATGTCCACATATCAAGACCAAAACATCGCGAACATCTTGAACACCTGGTAGAAGTCCCTGGTACCCTTCTTTGCGGGTCAAGCGATCCCGATGTATAGGTGAGAGACCTTCATGTGCAGGGTGAAGCTTCTTGGGGAGAAGAAATCCCTTTGCTAGTGCTTCTACACTATCAAACGATACCCGCGGTAGAAAAGGGACGTATTTGAAGCTTGGGACTAAATATACGGATGTGGTCTGAACCTCAGGACGTGGTGAAACAGAGCTTGGAAACGACGAGTTGAGAACAGAGACATTATGAAAAGGCTATGTTGATCAGTACATAATCCATATATAATAAGAGAGCACCAACATCGCTGTAAGTCCCTCCACGTCCAAATAACTCTTTCAGATCCGCAGCGAGGCAATCGCCGCCATTATCATCCTCTATTCTCGATGGCCAATCTGCATTTCCTGTACACACTAGTACATGCTCTGCATACCCAGCAATTGCGCCTTTGAGAGGCCCCTCACGGTCCAGAGAAAGATCCTCTGGCAAAGCAGGAGTAGCTGCGCATCCGCATGTCGGCTCCGGGCATGTTGCGACGGTCTGAAAGGGCGGAGGAGGCGGAGGTCGAGTCTGACGTGTCTGTTGAGCAAAAGTTCGCCTGGATGTTGATGACAAGCTGAAGAGACAGCGTCTTGTCAAGCTTATTGACGGCCGGAGAGACATGGCAAAATATTTGAGACGAGCCGTGGCCCTTGAACGAGACCTCGCTTTTATTCTGGTGACACCTCCAATAACCCGAATATCACGGCCCGGTGTTTTGCGATAGACATACATCATCATTTTCGCCTCGGTCTCCGAGATTCATGTAGAATCCCCCACTTTCCGGTCGAGCCGGCCCCCCACGTGTCGAAGCCGAATCATTGATAGACAATTGATAATGCTATTCAAGTCACGAGCCACGAATCACCAACTGCCAAGCAATATAGTTGAATATGCTGGCCTACACGATGTATAATGAAACTCGAAACCAACCGGCTAAAACCTTCAACTCCCATCACCCATTTCCAAATGCTACATACAGTCTATCCAATAACGTAACACCACAATGCAAGCTACAATATGCAATGGATCCTCAACTGACACACGGGTATAGCAAGCCTTGCGGCCGTCAAACCTCTCCAACTCATGCTCGCACACCTATTACACCAACTGTACATGAGTCTTTGACTCAGAACCCAACCATTGTTCCCTTCTCGTCACAGTATCCCGGATGCTTAGGCTCAGCAGTGGCCCAACTCATCGCAGTAAGTGTGGTAGCGTACGCCATTGCGATGAATCCAAAGATACAGAGCAGGATGTCGGCCACCTTCCAAAACTTCGTGCGGGCAATCGCCTTATAATGAAGCATAGGCTACAAGAAAAAGTCAGTATTGCACATGGAATCTTTCGACAGTGTTGACTTACAGGATAGATAAAGACAAGTGGAATGCAGGCAAAGTTACCGACGAGTGCAACAAACTTGTCCAGATGGTCGGCACCGAGCCAAGCAATGGCAGCGCAAAGCATCACCACGAAGAAACGGAAGACATTCTTCTGCCACTTGACCCAAGGATTATACTTGCCACTTCGAGTGAAAAGCTCTGTTTCAGCGATACGAATGGCGGGGAAGATCTGCAATGGTGTAGAAAGCAGAATGGCAACAGAGTACAAGAACTGAACTCCGTTGACCATCTTGTTGTCCTGAGGCAAGTTGAGCAAGACAACAGTTTCTGTGTGAGAACCGTAGGCAGCATAAGAGATGGCACCCATGCCAATGAAGAGGACTGTGATGATAATCATAACGATAAGAAGAACCCGAGGAAACTTTTGAGGGTGTCTCATCGATTCCTGGACAGGAATGATAAGACCAATGCCTTCAAAGGTGAAAATCGCAGTTCCGATGAACAAGGTCCAGTCCTTCTTGTTGAACATGATGATATCGGAGATACCGTTGGCGTTGAGAGTCAGAATATCGTAGTACAGAAGGTAAGCTAGGCCAATCAAAATAAAGGCATCCGCGACTAGAGCAGTAAATGCCAGCTTTCCAATATCTCTTAGAAGAGCAAATGGCAGGAAGATGAGCATCTGGATAAGAATGAGCCATTGGATACTGATTGAGGACTTGCAGTCGGAAACAGCCCTGACAAAGGCCTGCAAATTGGCGGCAGTGAATACAGTGTAAGCGGCAACGAAACCAATCTGGCTGATGACAATAGAGGCCAAAATAAGGGTGCGCATATGCTTTCCGTAAAGTGCACCACCCAAATCACCAAAAGAGCCTCCAACCTTGAGCTGTGTTTGTACGAGAAGCACAAAGCAGTAGTAGCTCAGAGCGGCAACGCCAAAGAGGATCAGGTTGCTGAAGAGCATACCTCCGTTGAGATAGGCTCGAGGAAGGAAGAGGACACCAGTACCGACAAAGGACTTGAGAAGCAGCAAGGCTGCGTTCATGGGGCTATTGTTTCCAGTGCCACCACGGACCTTGCGCTTGCGTCTGCGTCTTGAAGGTGTCAACAAGGCACTATCCTCCATAGGCTCCCGCTCGTCGTCGGAGTTGTACTCGTCTGTGTCTTCTCCCGATGAGAAGTACTCGTTCGGTCCTAAGTCTTCGTCATCCTCCTCCAGTTCCTCACCAGCGAAGTGGCCATAAATTGTCAAAAATTCGAGGAAGCTTGAGGTGAATAATCTTTGCTGGCCCGGCGCAGGAGAGGCGTGGCCGTCCTCAGGATGACCATGAGGACCAGGGCTTTGGACGTTGCGACGGAGATGGTTTCTTCGGAAGCCGCCGGGCACCTTTATCGAGTTGATGTCAAGTACCTCCGCCTCGGGCTCAGGCCGTCCCAAATCGAAGCTCTTGCTGCGGTTGTACTTGGCTCTCGCTTCTGCCTGTTCGGTCCACTTGTAGATACCTCGAGTCACATCACCTCCCTGCAACTTCAGGCTGGAAAACTCGTCCTCGCCTAGTCCGGCACCGCCGATTTCGGCTGGCTGCTTGCCCTTCGAATTACCTTGAATCGATGACTCTTCTGAACCCGGATTCTCATCCGAGGGTTGGACTAGATGACGCTTGACAATCTCAGGATCTTCATAAGGTGCACTGGTGCCCAGCGCATTTTGTGACCGTGAATTGAAAGATCCATAGTTGGTCGGCGTGCCCGAATTTCGACCGCCGAGCAGAGGAGACTGTGAGCGAATCGGGGGAGTAGCAACGCGAGCTGCGGGAGTGCCATGTCGCGGAGGAGACTGGCCTAGAGAGTTGGAGAGTGCAGCGGCGAGAGCAGATACGCCAGGTCCTTGAGCGCTGGTCCCGCTCCCAGGCAACTGGGACAAATCCTCGAGATTCTCGGCACGTGGAGCTGCATCGGGTCGTGGCGAGCCTCCCCTGGGAGGTGTAGTTCCAAGTAGTTGTGACGGGATGGGAGAAGCAAGACGCGCTGTCAAATCAGCTCGAGGGACCGAAGCCGAAATCGATCGAGGTCGGAAGCTCGAGGGCGAAGCAGACCTGGGAGGCTGTTCGGATGGGATTCTCGAAGGAGAAGCCATTCTTTAGTTCGATTGAAGGTGTGAGAAGCCTTATCGCATAGTCTGAGCGGTGTTGACAGCAGTTTTGAGTCGCGAACAGCGGTAATGACGCAGTAGGCAGATGGATGACTGGCGGGATGCCCAGTAATATTGATAAGATAGTTGAAGAAGCAAAGAAGTCAACAAAAAGAATGACGGCAAAGAATGATGACCAAAAACAGTTTCGGGAACAAAGGTTATATGGATATGTCACGCTTGGTCGGGTGACAGAGTCAATTGAGAGGTATCGGAATTTCTTGTTGGAAGTGAAGAAGAAGCGTGAGATAAGGGCTTAGCCAAGCCGTAGCATACAGGCGAAGGCTAAGACTACAGGCTCCTGCCTAGGTATGCCCAGGCTGGTAGTTGCCCTGAACAGTGAAGCTCAGACGCAGGGAAGCCCAGTCTCCGGGGTCTGGTGACCTACTGAGTAAGGGCAGCTGCCGAGCCAGGCTAGGCTAATAGTGGAGGTATTGGTTATAGGCTCCACGCGTTGAAAAGGTCAATACTTAGCAATACTAATAGTAGCTACAAGTGTATGGAAAGATGCCTTGTACATGGTTATTATTAACGTACATATGATATGGTAAAGTATTTAAATAACAAGTAGTCGGCTTATATAAGCTGTGATAAGTGCCTAAGTACTCATCCCGGGTCTACACTGGATGTCATATCATGGCTTGCATGTCTGCCGTCGAGTATTCTAGGTATGGACTTATGGACTCATCCAGAGCCAGTGGATATCGGCAAGTAAAATGCTTTGAAAGAAAACTCAACCGTTGGCCTGCAACCTTATCTCTAGGGTTGCACTGTATGTACCTACCAAATCGGGGGTCGTAATATTGACCGAGTCAAATACCTTGGGACGTTGATGAGTAACGTTTCAGAAGGATTTGTTTACGAGCGTTGATCTCTTCTTATCCGCACATGTTTAATTGCGGCAAAACATGCCTATCACGGCCACTAATTTCGATACTACTTGTTCTCTGTTCAGAATATTTACGGTGAAGCCACGTCTCTGAAAACACTGAACCATGACCTCGAATTATATCAACCCTATTACACGAATCTGTTCAATCTTGGCTGTGCGGCCCCACCATAACAATCGATGTGCGTTACCCGTCACTTGGTGCGATGAAGCGGGCACGTTTATGCTGTCACGCTCAGTGGGGGCGTCACGACCCTTAAGAGTCGAGTCAGATGAATGAGGCGCATGTCGACATGTGAATAGATATCTTCTATGTATCTCACATCAGAGATCTCGATCACTCATCTTGGTTTTTGTGTTTTACTAGCATCAGGTCTCGTCTTTCTCTCTGGCCAAACGGCGAAACGGCCCTCGGCATCAAAAGCACCGACAGAAGCTTGAATTTCTGTGTGGATTTCCTTCGGCATGGCCTACGTCATTTGGTAGCACCTATAGCGCCTATCGCGATACGAAGCTGCACCATGTGGTTCAGTATGAGCTCCAGCATAAGCAAGCCACGCCAGCTTCCGGGACCAGGAAACCTTGGGACCTTGACCCTAGTCAAGTGATAAAAAAGACTTTGGTAAGTTATCATAAGTAAGGAGAGTTTCTGTAAGGCTTATTTTGTCACTTGGGATCAAAATCTCAAGTTTTACTGCCTCCCATCCCAGCTCTTGCACATGATCCGACTTCCCCACAGACAGAGTCATAAAGACGACTATCACTGTGATATCTTGAGCCCTGGAGAGATAGCTCTGAGCAACACTACTGGGTTCTACCAGCCCCTAACCGCTGAAATGCAGGTTTTAGCGGGGAATGTCCAGCACCCGTGGACCCTTGGAACCACCTCAAAGGCTCAAACACCAACATTAGCAGCACCATAGTCCCCTGCTGACCCGTCTAGTTCCTCCAAACTTCCATACCTTTCCTGCTGTAACTGCGATGGAGGCCCAAGAATGCCCTCCCTTGAGGCTATTGTGGCGTCCTTGATTGGTGATGATCTCCAAACCAACATGGACGTTTTTGCCCGGATTGCCGAACAACTGCCCTTGTATTATCCACTCACAACCACACTAAACACGCCCAATATGCAACACGCGGGAGGCTTCAGCTTGGAATTCTCTTGGCAAGCATAGGATTGACGACCGATTACCCAATTGCTAAGTGGTCCTTGAACAATAGAATACACCATAACATCATTATTTCCCAGGCCTCTCCCCTCTTTCAAAAGCCTCATTCTTCTGTGCTTTGTTCCACCGCGCGGTTCTTCACCGTCTCATACTTGCTCATGTGGGCCGGGCCAGTGCTCGCTACTACTGACCCCTCGTCTGTCTCTCTGGCTCACTTGCTCTCTGGACTGCATCATGACAACACCTCAACAGTCAGATATCAAGGGAGTTGACAATGGGGGAGAACGACAACGAAATAGCATAGCCGAGTCCCATGGCGGACGAGGATCGGTATCAGTCACCATGGAGCCACGGCACAACAAGTTGGGCAGCATCTCGGGCGTATACATCCCTGTTTTTCTCAATATCATGAGTATTCTCATGTTTTTGCGATTCGGTCAAATCATTGGAAAAATCGGCTTCGTGGGCATCCTCGGTAAGCTTCTCTCTCATACGAGGGCCTTTCATAAATCTTAACAAAGACTCCAGGACTTCTAGTCACAGCTTACTCCATTGACTTATTGACAACGCTTTCTCTATCGGCCATCGCATCCAATGGAGAAGTCAAAGGTGGTGGTGCATACTACCTTATCTCACGGTCTCTGGGACCAGAGTTTGGTGGTTCCATTGGAATCCTCTTCTATCTTGCTCAAGTTCTCAACGCAAGCATGAACGTTGTTGGTCTTATTGACTGTGTTAGACTGAATCTCGGCGCGGCTTTCCCCTCAGGTTACTGGACTGGCTATGGCCTCCAAACAGCGGCCCTGTTGCTTTGTACTGGTCTTTGTTTCCTAGGATCTGCAACTTTCTCGAGAGCCTCCAATGCTCTGCTTGCTATCCTGAGCTTGGCCATTGTCAGCATCCCGGTCTCTGCTGTCTTCAAGGCCCCCTTCCATGATAGGGATCTCGGGATTCATTTCACCGGACCTAGTCTTGATACCCTGACCGACAACTTCCTTCCTCACAGTGGACCCCAATTCAAAGGCCTTGAAACGTTTCGTGATCTGTTTGGCATTCTCTTTCCGTACGACCCTTACCAATCTGTGTGCGTATAACAAGCTCGTACTGACAACAAGACAGTGCTACCTCAGGAATCTTTGCGGGGGCATCCATGTCTGGAGACCTAAAAGACCCAAGCAGATCGATTCCTCATGGAACGCTCTGGGCAATGCTGACAACTTTCATCATCTACTTTGTCGTAATCCTTTCACTGGCTGCTAGCACAACCCACACATCTTTCCTGGCCAACGACAATGTCATCCCTCTTGTCAACCTCTCCCAGCCTGTCATCCTCGCTGGCGAATGTGCAGTCACCTTCTTCTCCGCTCTCATGGGCCTTATCGGTGCCTCCAAGCTGTTCCAAGCTTTTGCAAGGGATAAGCTTCTTCCAGGCCTCGGCTTCTTCAGCAAGGGCACGAAACACGGTGACGAACCCATTTACGCTTTGCTTCTGACTTATGTCATTGCGCAATTGGCGCTCTTCGCCGATCTCAACCAGATCGCTACCTTTATCTCTATGGGATATCAGATGACTTTCTTCGTCATGAATTTAGCTTGCTTCCTTCTCAAGGTCGGGTCAGCCCCTAACTTCAGGCCAAGCTTCAAGTTCTTCACCTGGCAAACTGCCTTCCTTGCGGGCATCTTGTCAGGCTTTGCTATGTTCTTCATCGATGAGACTTACGCCGCTATCGCAATTACAGTGCTTGTGTTGTTGTTCCTCCTCATTCATTACCTTAGCCCTCCTAAGCACTGGGGCGATGTCAGCCAAAACCTGATCTATCATCAAGTAAGGAAGTATTTGCTACGCCTGAGACCAGAACACATCAAATTCTGGAGACCGCACATCATATTACTTATCAACAACCCTCGCAGGCAGACCAGGTTGATCCAGTTTTGTAACTCACTCAAAAAAGGGTCGCTTTACATTCTTGGCCATGTCATTGTGACCGACGACTTCAACTCAGGGGTTCATGAAGCTCGGCTTCAACAGCATGCCTGGACAAAATACATCAATGAGTTCTCCAAGATCAAGGCTTTTGTGCAACTAACGATGTCCCCCACCATTACTTGGGGTATCCGCAATCTGATACTATCAGCCGGCCTCGGTGGAATGCGCCCTAACATTGCTGTGCTTGGGTTCTACAACATGGAGGAACTGCGGAAATCAAACCCGAAGCTACGCGTACCTGATGTTCCCGTGTCTTTGTCTAGTCAAATGCGACGGCCCGCTAGGTCAAATGGCAAAGCTCCCGAAAGGCCTCGGAGGCGACGGGGTGACACGTCGGCAAGACTCATGGAGGGCATCCTACCAACAGACGTTATTCGCACCGAGAACATGATGTCTCCAAAAGAGTATCTGACTATACTTGAGGACCTTGCGTTGCGATATCGACTTAACATTGCAGTGGGGTGTGGCTTTGAATCACTCGAGACACCAAGAAAGGACGGAACCAACACCAAAAAGTACATCGACCTGTGGCCTATCCAGATGTCGGCCGAGGTTACTTCTGACGGAAAGAGTTTGCTGACCACCAACTTTGATACATGTAAGATCAATCTCTTGTGAAGACAGCACAAGCTAACATTAGTAGACACCCTCATTTTGCAGCTCGGACATATTCTTCACAGTGTGCAACTCTGGAAGCATGTTTATATGCTTCGGGTCATGGTATTTGTGGAATATGAGAGTGAGGTCAACGAGGAGCATGCTCGAGTTCTGGCACTTCTTGAAAAATTAAGAATTGACGCAGAGGTCAAAGTATTTTGCTTGGCATCAGGCAGTCTAAATACCTACGATCTCATCGTCAATGGGATAGGTAGCGATATCGATTGGGAGATCGTCGTCAACGATACACTCCGCAACGAAGAATGGTGGGATGATGTTCAGATGTTCCGAGGCCGATCAGACAACATGACATCTACCCAGGAGCTGGATCAGCTGGAGCACATATATGATACGATATCTGGGAGGCCCGGTTTGTATAACCCTCATGAGGAGATATACGATCGCCGACGTGCTAGTACGACGGATGTTCCCGAATTACCAAGACGGCCGGCTATCCGGATGCTTTCGAAGATGGGGGTTAGTATGGGAATTCACACACACCATCTCCCAGACGGTGCATTAGATGAAACGGATAACGAGGATGACGAGGCAGAAGACTCGCAAGCAGAACTTCTCGATGACGAAGAAATGGGGTACAGTTCTATACTAGGCCATGAGTCGATTGACGAAACAAACATCGGCCCGAGTGATGCAGCTCGTCAGCCATTGTTGGCGAGCGGAGATTCTCATGATGAGGATGGCAGAGTGCGTGGTGACTTCTGGGAAAGCTTTGGCCGAAGGTCCAAGTCCGACACAGTTGGAGATACGGTCGGGACGAGTACGTCGTACGGTACAATGTCATCGTCTGCGACAGTAAAGGGAGTTGGCGCTGGCGTTGGTGGAGTCCAAACATCACAGTCGGCATCAGCATCAGCCTCTCAAGTTGCACCAGAGTCATCGGCAACGCAGGCGAACCAACGACCACATGGAGACGGCACAGACTCTGCCACGGCAGAGTTTCCCCCTCTTGTCTCGCGAGACTCGCTAGGACCTTCGGCAGCCTTCAGTCGTGTGCGCCCTCCAAGCCCTACGCGAGAAGATACTGCACGCCCGTATCGCAGCGGCGCATCAACGCCAGGAAGACCCAATCTCTCCAGGCAGTCCTCGGCCGTGAAGTTCTCCAGCCGCCCGGTCCCGGAAACAAAGATCGTGGCCTCGGAAGCAGAGGGGTCCACGATAAGCTTTGCGCCGCCCTCTAGCACCGAATCTGAGACTCCCAAGGCCGGACCGTATCGACCGAGTTATTCGCGGCAATCGTCGCTAGGAAAGTTCCCGAACAGGTCCCGGTCTAGTGGTCAAGTTATGGCCGGCGAGGAGAGCAGAAAAGTCAGTTTCGCGGAACAGTCTGACTGCGAGCCATACTCAACGCATCATTCTCGATTCCATTCGCGGCGGAATTCTCGAGGATCTACACAAGGAGGGGGCGAATCCTATGACCAAATTCCAGAAATGCTTGAAAGATACAGATTAAGTTCACATCTAGAGGAGGAGGGTCAAAATTCGGGTTACACGCCGCAGGGATTGGAGCTCTCTTTCAACGAGCTTCCAAGCAGGGCACAGCATCTCATTGTGAACGAATTGATGCGTCAGCATTCCAAGGAGACTGCAGTTCTTCTCAGCACGCTGCCAATCCCTTCGGAGGGCACTTGCTTGGATGAAGCTTCTACTATACAGTATCTGTCTGATGTCGAGGTTCTTTGCAACGAGCTGCCACCAACGTTGTTGGTTCTTAGCAACAACATGACAGTAACTGTCAACCTGTAGTCGATCGCTTAATCAAACAATCAATGGATCAATCAATTACAAAGCCGCAATATTTCCATGATTGACAGCTAGCATGGATGACCCATGTAGAGGGCCCAATTGAGGCTACTGTACTGAGGGAAATACAGTTACCACACTTGGTTGACGACGTGGAAGGTCTAAGGTCTCTAAAAGATGGCGTAAGCCGAGTCATGACCAACAAAGGACGGCAATGATTACTAGCCAGGAACAGCCTTGCAAAGACCATGCCAGGCACAGGAACCGAGGGACGGGACAAGATAGTGGGAGCTAGCAGCTGAACCAGTCTGTCGATATAGTTTTTGTGAATTCTTGCACGAGGTTTTGGATTTCAGGGGCAAGATTGACTGGAATGGTCTCTGAGGTTCTGGATATATCGGGTAGTGAGTGGATAGGGTGGGCGGTTTTTTTTTGGTGGCTTGCGGCCATGAATCATGGGCCATGTGGCTCTATGTCACCTCTCAGTCTCAGTCTCTGTCAGTCGTCACTGAGAAAGAATCATGAGAGGGGAATTTATTTTCAGCTTCCATTGTATGCTTGCGTCTTTATGCTCGGGCTCTCTTGCGGCCTATCTCTGGGGAATGGTTGGTGATGTTAAGATGGAGCACTTTTGGTGTTACCCAAACTGCATTGGATTCTTGGAAGACAAACTCTCCTCTTTGTACCAAGCCGTATGTACCTTTCCCGTCCCTGTGCCGTGTGCCTGACACCACCTTTGACGCCTTGAAGTGTCCTATTTAGTTACTGCAGAAGCCAAAAGGTTGAGTTGCCCCCGCACAATGACACTACCTGTTGTCATCGGAGCCTCCGAGCCGCCAAAGGTAACAAGAGGCGCATACTAGAGATGACTAGGCCATCTAACAAGGTTTGAATTTCTCTTTACCACGAGAAACTCTATTCCGTCTCCCAACCTCAGTTCAGTTCAGTTCCGCTCTGTTCCCCAGAGCTCTATACCCACTGAAGATATCCTCCGAGGGGGGGGCTTGTCTTGTAAGACCCAGGACCCCTCCCGTCTATCACTCACTTACATTCCAGTCAAACAGCCTGACACCACTCAGCTCTGTCAAAAAAAGGGGACCCCAGAGACATTTCCTTATAACGGAGGCTGGGGCTGGGATATCCAACCTGCTAAAATCAGGTTTTCTGGGAAATTCTCTTTCCTGGCCTGTGAGACATTGTGCTCCGAGTCAGGCTACTCTACTCTGCTTCACCAAGCCAACCTCTTCACGATGCCTTCTTGGACTTCCAACAACGATGATAAGATGAGCAGCTGGCGGGACCAGCTCTCGCCCCGAAACCTGAGTTTTCGGGGCTTTAGAAGAGCTTCTGAGTCTGTGGCAAAAACAGCCCCTTCAACCAGTAAAGATTTCACCATGTTGCACTATCCGGACCGACCTGCGAGGAGGATCACTGAGGCCGATATTCCCAGCGACGAGGAGTGTAAAAAGTCTCTTATTAATATGAGAAAGGCTTCTTTCGTGGAGCAAATACACCGAAGACACGAAGTTCAGCATCAGAAACAGTTATCTCCCGTGCGGGAACCGGCGCAAGAGGAGCTTTCAGCATTGAGACCGCCTCAGCATGATTTATCTCGAATAATACAGCCACAACCACAACCCCCAACAGAGCAGCCTCGGACAGTTCAACCACAGACCGCGCAGCCTCGAATAATACAGGCACCAGCAGAACAACCACGACTAGAGCATCCTCGAGCACAGCAGCCGCTGCGATTAACTTTTGGGCCGTTTAATGGACAGTTCCGATCGGCCTTTGGACCACTTACACCCGCTGAAGAGGAGCCATGCCCGTTAGAAAAGGTCGACACCATTGAGTCTACAGCAACAGCAACAGCAATAGCAACACCGCAAGTTCCCCAACCTTCTGTGGACATTCGAAAGAGCCTCTTAGTTGTTGATGATTTAAATATTGCAAGAGAGCCCTCGCCTTCTGCAGTCATCAGCGAAGCCAAGACCATCAAGCTCGAACGAGTAGACAACCACGCTACACCTGGCGTCTCACCAATCTCATCACCACGACCAAGCGATGCTTCGGCCTCAGGATGGCCTAGACGAAAACAATCAGTTCAAATGGTCGCTATTCGTCGATCATCGCAAGATTCTCAGAAGCGCAAGCAGTCTGTTCACACAGTCGTTGTGCGACGGCCCTCCAAGCCAACGGCAGATGCCCTCAACTCCCATCCTGTTCACGCATCTTCTACACAAGTCCATGTTCGACAAGACAGTGTTTCGGACCCAATGTGTCGGGTGTGTCATAATGGAATCGCTGAGACGTCTGGGACTTGTTCAAGCTGTGAAAATGACTCCATCACAGCCACGCCGGTCGAAACCAGTCCCAGCTTCTCTCGGCTTCATCACAAACCAACTGTCAAGAAGTACAACCGCCCACCTCCTCTGATTCCTCAGTCTCTGGACGGTATCGCCAAGCTTCATCGCCCCTCCGCTTCTCTCACCTCTGATCCCGAAGCAAATTCACTGTCACCACCGGCTTCGCCAACATCGCATTGCAGCAGTCCGGCTGAGACCATCAAGACAGTGGCGACGGGTCCTTCGGTTCCTCCGACCCCAATGTCGGCCCTCTCGACGCCCGAAGTGTTCAAGCGCTTTCAAGAAGAGGTTGAGTCAAGAGCCAAGGCAGATGATAGTCCTTCATTCGATGATCCATGGATGATCAAGTCCAAGACTCCCGAGGATGATGTCTACGAAGATGATTGGGCGGATTATTACTTTGATGAGCAAAATTTCAACGACGACAAAGTCACTAATGGGCCAGTGCCTGGTGCCAACTTTGTTCCGAGTCCTGTCAATCCAGGTCCTGGGTGGATATAAAGCCTTATAAGAGATTGCCAGTAAAAGATTGTATCATGTATGTATTCAAAATGTCAGGTAGCGAGCGGGGTTGTTTTTCTATATCCTGGCCAAATAGCGACAAGCGTTCTTTCAATTCAATCATGAGTCTATGCTTCATAACCATCTATTTCGTCTCTTCGTGACATCTTCTTTCATCTGATCCCATCTCAACTTTTAAGTCTATGTTCTAGTCTATAGAATTTTTGTAACTGTCAAATCGCTTGAGTCTCCACCCTCTAATTCTATCAATCCGCCAGCTTCAATTCTCTTCTTCCACTTGTTGCTCTCATACCGCGCAAATATTATCGTCATGCGCAGTGTAACATCGCTGCTCGAGTCATGCTCCTGCAGTGATTCCGCAACAGGTGTGAACGTCCAGCGGCCAAATGCCCAGTTGAGGATATATCGGCCGGAGGCGCTTGGCTCTGGTGGGGGGATATCGGGATCGGAGTTTGTGGGCGTTGATGATAGTGAGACAAGGGCCTTGATGCGGTAGGCTTCGTCTTTGGGGGCGGAGGAGAGAAAGGCAATGAGCTTTTCGGTCGAAACTCGTGCTGAAGGATCGGCTTTCAGGACAACTGACAAAACCTCGACTTCGCTTTGGTGGTTGTGAGAGTGGCCGTTTGTTGTGCCGTTGGAGTGGTCGTGACTGTGGCCGTTGGTCTTTTCAACATCTGCCTCTGTCAACTCCTTCGCCAAACCACCATCCACGCCAAAGATCAAGTCCATCGACACTTTGCCCTTGTCGCTCTTGACCTTGGCAACGTCAACTTCCAGGTCGCCGACTCGGTCCAGGCATTCGTCGTATCGCAGCATGCTGACATTCTCCCACTTGTTGAAGACGATGAGATCGGTGTAGCGCGCTTGAATGCGTGCTGTGTAGCTAGTGTCCTCATAGCCCTTCCAGTTCTCGACATCAATGACGCTGATGACACCGTCGAGGATGTACTTCCCGGACTCACGCGCAAGGCGGTTGACTTCGAGAGCGAGGGTCGCGGGAAAAGCCGAGCCGCTGGTTTCAATAACGATTCGATCGGGCGTGACGGTCTTTTCTAGTTCTTCGAGCGCGGGGCCGAGTTGACCGACGAGGTTGCAACAGATGCAGCCGTTGAGGAGTTCCTGGACGCCCGAAATGGCAGAGTTGGCGGCGAGTTGTGAGTCGACTGCGAGATCGCCGAATTCGTTCTTGAGAAGCGCAAGCTTATAGTCTGGGTTCTGGGCGCGAAGTTGGGGGATCAGGTTCAGGATCAGTGTCGTTTTACCTGATCCCAAAAACCCTGTAACGATAGTGATAGGAATTGGCGCCATCTTTGCTGTACTTTCACCAGAATCGAGGTTGAAAATAGCACCTATAGAAAGAAGGGAACGGCGTCAAAGTTTTGTTTGATAAAATACCTCTTTAATTAGCGGAACAAACAAATGTGAATTGTTGGGTGATCATCAGCCCATCCATTCAGAACGGTCCGATAAGATAGACTTTCGAATCGTTATCGGGCCTTATCGGAATGACCCCGCCAACTGCGACTTGACGTCACTTTATAGAGGGTGACAAGCTGAAAGACTGAACTAACGTAAGGTTTCACAGGGGTGCATTGAGGATTTGCGCCATTGCGTATGCCAATGCCGGGGATAAAGGTGGAAGAACAAGGAAATGGGGTAGGGATACACAATATTTACATGCATCCTTCGCTCGTCTAGATCTTCATCGGAGCATCAGACTTCAACAGGAAACTCAATCCGCCTAAAACAAAACAAAAATGGCTTCTCAAGAACCAGGCCAGAACAACAACCTCCGAGAGGAGAGCTTCAAGGAGCAGCTGGACAAGGCTGCGGACAGCACCCGTGAACTGGAGAATCAGAAACCCAATCCTGTTGTCGAGAAGAGTATGTTCTACCAAACGCTCTCTCTACATATAATAATTGCTGACTTGTTGCAGTCACAGAATATGTCCCAGCTGCAGCCAAGATCCTGCCAGCTCGTCAGAGCCCGCCCAAGGAGGAAGACAAGCCACCAGGACCACCAGAACGACCGCATCACGATGACAAAATCGAAGACTTTGTAAGGGATCAGCACAGAAGTCAGGGCGTTGATGGAATTCTGGGCGATTCTCCCAA